ATGGGACCTTCACAATTTTTCCTTACATGCAACAAAGAATTCACACAACTTTCAAGATAAGTTCTACAGAAAAAAAATAAAATAAAATAAAATTTTGAATACAGAGCTATGATCTCCTCTCCCCCAAAAGTAGCTCCCAACGGTGCTACACTTTCAGCGTTTCATTAGCCCTACAGGATACACCCTCCCAAAAACTATTTGCAAGAAGGTCAGACGAGCAGCTTGCCATGTCTCCGTCCCCACCGCCCTGCCCAGGGTGGTACCGCTTCCTCCTCCACCGCTGGGCACGCTCAGTGCCCAGGGAGCAGCTCTGGTCCATACTGGGCTCCAAATCAACCCATGGCTTGTCTTGCTCCCCAGGGCTCACAGGTCCTTTTGACAAGATGACAGACTGCTGACACGTCACAAAACTGCCGTTAGAAAGCTAAGAGTTTTTCAGTTTCTTGGGCTGCTGTGGTTGGCATCTGACCACAGGAAATGTTTATTTATTTAAAAAAAAAAAAAAGGTAATAAAATGTCAAAGCTAGGTTAAACCAAGTATTGTTAGGCTGTTGGGTAATTATATCCCTGGCACCTTCAATTTGAAGGCAACAGGAGTAAAGTTGGTGCACACAGTTGTGAACTGTCCCTGGCAGAGCTGTCATCGCGTTTATTCCAGTGACGCAGCAGGACCCCGAGGCAGAAGATCACCTGAAATACCCCGTCTTCTGCATTAGATTTTTAGGAGAGACAGAGATATAGTTCTAAAATATACTAAGGCTCGCTGTCGCGTGCAGACGTAATTGCTTGGCAGCACACCTTTGATTTCTGCCACAACCTCTGCTCTGACCCGCAGGGTGCCCAGGCTGTGCTGGAGAGGAATGGCTCCCGTCCCTGCGGGACCACGGAGCAGCCACCTACTGTGTCGTGTCTGGAAAACACTTGTCACGTGCAAAAGTCTGAACAAGACTGTACATAAGACTAGTCATATACAAGACTATGTAATTAAGGCAGCTTTCTTTTTTAACCCCCGAGAAAAGCCAGCTAATAAGCACAGAAATTTGGAAACACAGTTCTATCTCCTCTCTTACACTCAGGATGTTTTTTTGCTGCATTCCCCTGCCTGTGTACATTGAAGTGCCCAAGAAGAGCCGTAACGCGGTCAGAACCTGCCCCTTGAGCCATCGGGGCTGAAGGGGACGAGCGATCCCCGCAGCACCCGGCGCCAGCCCCAGCTGCTCCCGCAGACAGCCCTGGAGAGCCAGGACGGGCTCCCCGCGACGCCAGGGACCACACAACTGGGTGCTTGTTCTGTGCAGCTCCCTCTGACGCTTCCCTAGCTCAATTTACTGATCACAAACCCTCAAACGGAACCATTTCAGGACTGAAGGCCAGCTGCTGAGTTCAGCTTGCCCAGATCATGCTCTCCAGCAAAAACCGTTTACTGATTCCACTATGTTCAAAGGAATATTCCCACTCTCTTCACCTGAAATTGCATTAGGTAAGTCAGGAGCGAGCTAGCTGGAGCTCGCTGCCCCCAATCCCAAAGATTGGATAGGGAGAGACATATTGGTAGCAGCAAGAATAAAAATAAATCAGTGTCTGACTGAATGGATAAATAAATAAATAAGCGCGTTGCACACAGCTGTACAGAACTGAAACAGAAACCCCGAGAGGGCAGAGCAGCGTGTTCTAGGAAAGCACAGACGAAAGAGAAACAACTCAAACCCAGGGGGAAGAAAAGGATGGAAATGGGGAACAAAAATGACTGAATGATATCAGGTCTTCGCTCTGACTTTAAAAGACACGGCACAAGCAGTGTCTGATCTGCTTTGGTAATTCTCACACACAGGCAACAACAGCATGTGCCGGGGGTTGTGTTTATACACCTGGAAGTCACAAAGTCTCACAGGAACGGTGGTGGTTCGGCCAGTGGGGAGAAGTTGGAGAGTTCCAGGCCCAGGCAAAGCATTCTCACTTGTTCTTCATTTCCAAGGAAAGCAAACTGCAATTAACAAGGGCCAACACATGGCCTAGATTGCCCCTGTCAATTTTTATGGGTCATCAGAAGCAGGTATGTATCTGTTGTTAGTCAATATTTACTGAAACACTGATCAGCTACAACCGAGCACCTCTCAGTGGGGCTACAGGGACTCAGGAAACACATCAAGATTCTCCTAAGTTTGTTTCCAAAGTCAAAGAACCAAAACTTTCAGAAACAGTCTTACAGCAGGACCACCAACCTGCCCTTGACAGAGGTCCAACGAGGACAAGTTAAACACAGCTCACAGGCATAATCCTTTAAATAGGAATGTCTGGGATAGAACCCATGGAGCAGTTTTAAACTGCTGCACCCCAAAACTGAAGGTAATGTCTGTATCTGCAGCCTCGCCAGGCACAGGAGTACAGAGCAGGGACAGTTGTTCACAACTAGCTATAGAGCACGCTGCAGCCAGCCCTTCAACCTAAACCCCAATTTCCAGATTAACTACAGCCATGTACAACAAGGAGGCTGTCTATAGGGTCACCAAGCTCAGATACACACCAGGAGGAACCAAAGGAACAGGATTTCCATAGCACTGGCACAACTTCTTCAAAAATGTGTATCGCTGGTTTCTAACAAAAAAATAATTTGGCTTGGGAAAAGATGAGTTCCTTTAAGCTACTTCAAGAGGGCACACGTGGTCGGGACAGTGGGTGCTATTTTTGCACTGACATGCAAAAGAACCAAATTTGAAGGGTTACCGGTGCATGTGAGGAAAACCGGACACACTCAAACACAGCAGAGAGCCCCACCTCCACAGACAGCCCCTGGAAATAAGAACTCTGCTTCTCCCCTTCTCAGACAACCTTCAATGAGATGCTGGCAGCTTCTTTGCTACACTGGTCATCCCGCCATTAACATCACTCTACCAGTTCCAGGTAACTCACGGGAACACGGCTCCCTGAACAACTCGGGCAAGCTGGGAGGGGGGTTTCCAGTGGGAGAGGATAAGGGAGCCGCCAGGTCCTCCCCCTCGGGACACACACGCAGTCAGCAGTGATGTCCTGCAAATCCACAGCCTGCCCTGCCCGCCAGCCAAATTCCTCTGCCAATGCCACACACCAAGTGTCCACGCTACACGGGAAGCTCTGGTGCTTTAAGCAGCTGTCCTGAATGACAATCCTGACTGCCTGATGGTATGAAAAAGATGTGAGAGTCGCCCTTTCTGTGCCTACATATGCTCTAAAGAGGGCAAGAGCAGCTTGTGGAGTGAGAGTAACACACGGGAGCAATCTCACCGGCCACCATCACCCAGCGAGTCCCTGCCGGAGCATCACCCTGCGCTTGTTTGACTTGGTGTTTGCTCTTTTTACCTCTGCCTGTGCTACAACCTCAAATCCATTATTTGTGTTACTTACTTAATCAAGGATGAGATACTGAAGGAGATTTAAACAGCATGATGGCTTTACTTGGGGAAAGAGCCAGCAGAAAGGGAAGACAGCAGAAACGGCCTCTCTTGAAGGGCCAGCAGCATTCCCATCCCAACACCATGCCTTTCTCGGGACCTACCAGGGGCCCTGAGCTTCCCACTGTAACATAGTCCCAAGACAACACAACTTCTACATTTTCGGGGCAGCTTCTGACCAAAGGATTTAATCACTCAAGAAAATTAATTCAAGGTCAGACAGGGTTGGAAAATAAATAAAATTATGCAGATAATTACTTCTGATCAACTCTTTGAGACATTTTAATTCCATAATAAGATCTACAGAGAGATATATCAAGAATACCTTTCCAAAATAACTCCTTACATAGAGAAGGTCTGCTGGGCACCTGGAAACAACTCTGCAGTACCATTGCTCTCTTGACCAGCATGCTAATTTTCATCCCTTTTTGCAAGGCCAGTTAGCAGACACACCCTTCTGTGAGACACAAGAAGGCACCAAGACACCTCATATCAACTATTGTACCAGGCGTTCTTTTGGGGGTGCAGACACACACCTCACTTCCTCACATTCAGTCTCCTGCACACACTACTCAGGTGAGGTCCAGCCTATGGAAAGGAGGTCCCGTTCAATTTGCACTGATGCACAGTCCACGTGTTGTCCACCACATCCGGCCAGGAGGTCAGCTACTCATACCAAAACAAAAAGACGGTCTCCTTTCCTTTCTCTCCTCCCACAAAGAGCTGGACTGGGGATAATGTTGGAGTATTGCATAAAGTGGCTCAAGGATCTAGATGGCACGGCTTTCGATAAAACAGGCTCTGACTGGGCAAGATTTTTGACAGAAGTATTTGGAGTTTGCCACATTTTACCGGGGTGCTCAGGTCTGGTGACGCTGGTCATCCCTTCTGCCCTTAAGACATTTTTTTTTGTATTCTTGCACTAGCCCAAGGCAGAGCAAGGAACCCAATGCATTGCCCCCGGATAAAACACCCTTTTCCACAGCTCTCGATTTGCAGGCTTTGCCCTCCCCGAGACGCGTAGGGCAGTGACTGTTTCCGGTTAGAAACCGGTGAGATCCGAACGCACAAGGCTAAAAAAGATGAGAAACATGTCCGTTTCAAAAGCGCATGAGAGTCACGCAGCGCATCCCTGCTGACTGCAGGGCTCCTGAGCCACTGCCACGAGAATAAATACTGTCTGAAGGTGCAGCGTCACCGAAACAAGGTTGGTTTAATTGTTGGCGAAGGTGGTTTTTCTACAGAGAACGGGACGCTGTCGCTGAAGATGCCCGAGCAGCAGGAACGGCGGGGAAGGGCTATTCTACCCCAAAACGGAGCGGCGCATCCCTGCCCACCGGCCCCCAGCCCGCTCCCGGCGCGTCCCCGCTGCGGGTCGGGCAGCGCCCACCGTTCCCCCGCGGGGCCCGGGCCCGTTCCCAGCCTCACCCCGGGAACCGGCGGGGCCCCGACCCACCGGGCCGGACACCTTGCCCCCGCGCCCGGCGGGATGCGGGTCCATCTCGGGCAGAGATGCCCGCGCCATCCCTCCCTCCCTCCGCCCGGGCCGCGCTCCCCCCGCCGCCGCCCTACCTTGGTGTAGAGCTCGGAGGCTGCCATGGCGCCGGGCGCGGGCGGGCGGCCCCTCTGCGGCAGCCCGGCGGCGGGAGGCGGAGGCGGCGGAGGGAGGGGAGGAGGAGGAGGAGGAAGAGGAGGAGGAGGGAGGATGCTCAGGCGGCGGCCCGGGCGCGGCGCGCCATGTTGCTACCTGGCGGTCGGCGGGGCGGGCGTTGCTCTGAGCATGCCGGGAGCGGCGGGGCCTCCCACCGGCGGCCCCTGCCGGAGACAGACGCGGGGACCCGCCGGCACCGGCCGCCGACAGCCCCGGCCCGGCCCGCTCCGCCTCCCGCTCCGGGCAGCCACCGGCATCCCGCCCCTCTCGCCCCAGCCCCATTTTTTTTTCTTTTTTTTTTTTTTTTTTTTTTTTCCCCCTGCCTCTGCCCTTGACCCCCCCTGCCTCTGCCCTGATGGATGTGTAATACCTGTAGCTGAGAGTACTTAAATGTTTGCTTCCATCACTGTTAGAGAATTTTTGGAAGCATCCAAACACTGACTCTTTTTTGTTTGTTTGTTTGTTTGTTTGTTTGTTTTTGTTTTTTTTTTTTTTTTTTTTTTTTTTTTTGTTTTTTTGTTTTTTTCTCAAATTTCGTCCCATTTTCCCCATTTCGTCATCAGGGACGGTTATAAGGCGCGGTGCCTCCTTGGCCCTGTGCCGCCCAGGCGCGGGTCCCAGAGCCCGCAGCACCAGCGCCCGGTACCGGGGTCGGTCACTGCCAGCACCGGCCTCTCCCGCCTCATCGGCACCGGGCTGGCACCGGGGGTGCGGGCTGCTGCCGCCTCCGCTGCCTGGCCGCCCTCCCCACATCGCCCATTTCGGCGAGCCCTTCTCCAGGCGCCAAGTTCTCCATTTCTTGCTTCCTCTCCCCAGTTCTGACCCCATCCTTCAGGCTGTGTCCGGCCTCCTGCAGCCTGCCTGCCTCCTCACCGCCCCAACCAACACCCAAACACCCGAGAGAGCCGGGCCCACAGCGGCTCTTGCCACACGCAAGTCCAGAAATGAAGGTACATCTTAGAAAAGTTTAACTTCCACGTCACAAGGGAATGAGAAGCATAACCCATGTTCTGCCTAGGTCTTGAGATGGCAGCTCATTTGCTTTATGAATCATTAATGGGTGTTTCTTACAGCTCACGTTATGACAAGAGTTTTTCTGACGGCAGAACTGGAGCTATGTTTTCTCTACTTCCCTTTTTCCTCCTGGGAATGCATCCCACCAGTCCAAGCTGTCCAAAGTACAGAACCAGTTTGAAACGGTTCTCTTTGACACACTCCCCACCAAAGTATCATCTCTGCAAAATCCAACTGTTCAGACAGCAGCTCTCTGTTCAGTGGGTGGTACCTGGACTCCCCCTGAAACTTGCCGTGACTATCAAAGAAAGAAATCTCTCCTACAGAGAAAACGAGCCATGAAAGAGATGGGTGAACCTGCTCAAAATCACTCATCGACTGAGTAACAGAAATAAAAATCAAGCTATCTTCACTCCCAGAATAAACAGTCCCAATAAATGCCATAATCTGGCTGTACTTTGCTGCTGCTATCAAAGAAAGGAGACAGAGAAAATACCAAGCACAAATGAAAAAAAGTCACGATGAAAATATGGAGCCTTACCTGGAGTTTGTATTAGGTGCAGATATATGGTCTTCACAGGTAGTAAACTAAGGTTAGCAAACTCAGCAAAAAGATTAAAAAAAAAACCAAACTATCTTGGTTTTGCTGAGAGAGTTCAGAGTTGAAATTGTAATAAGAATTTAATTTAAAAAATACCTTCCTTCCCACGTTCTGCCAGTATGTCCAGGATTATCAACCACACTTGCTGGTGCTGCCCATGCCCCCGGGCTCACTCCCATCAGCAGCACTGGACACTTGCTCTCAGTCCTACGAGGAGCCAAGAATCGGTGCCTGCGAATTGGTGTCTTAGCTTTTGGCTAAGAAGTTTGCACAGCTGCTCTTCACACTGACACTGTGGCAAAACAAAGAGATCTGTAATAAAGCTACCGGTCCTCTTCCATGCGTAACACAAAAGTGATTTGGGGTTCATTTAAGACGGCCATCATCCCCCTTTAACAGGCTTAATCTAAGAATCTGGATGTATGAACCACAGAAATCTCAATTTTGTTTTCAGAAGAGACCTAAACCTCCCCTCTGACTGTGTGCTGCTTCATATCTGATATTTAAGACCCTTTCTTCAGGACGATATCCATTTTAAATTCAAAGACACTCATTTCAGGAGTTCATTTGGACTGTGGATTACTGTATCAGCCATTCACAGCTGGAGCTCAGGAGCCAAATGTAATTATAAGCCCCAGCAAAAAATAGATATCTGAGTCCAAAATATGCTATGATTTGACACAATTTGCATAAACCAGGATTTCAAATCTGTCATTAAGGACAGGAATTGGGGGCACTGAAAGTTGCCAAGAAACAACCTGTTTGTAACGTATCTAGACTGACTACTTAATTATTACTTAAACATGCGTCTTCTGCATCAACACATTTGCTGGCAAGATTTTAAATGTCCTCATCTCACACGCTTGCACAGTGCCTTTTCAAAAAGATAATTTATGGCATTTAATTTGAGAGGATAGATGCCAGGGTATTCCAGTTGACAATGTATGGCTGATGTAGCTGACACAGTCCACATATAGAATTTTATACTGAATTTGAACCCAATAATAATAAAGATAGAAACTAATCCTGCTATGAATTGAGGTTAGTTTATGTAACTGTTTTTCAGAATTGACTACAAAGCATCTGTCCTGTCTTTTTCTTACATCTGTGTTCCGTTTACATCCATAGTCTGTTCAACTGTGGCAGAAAAATTCACACAGAAATAATATATACTGGTCACATAAGGAACATGGGAAGGTTTATTTGGCACAGTGGATGGGCCTATCCACTCCCTCAGAAAAGCATTGGTATATTCAACATTGACCATCAGTTTAACTCCAAGTGGAAAGTCTGGAAAGACCAACAAAGCCAACTGAGAAAATTCATGGGCTAAAATCCTCCTCCTAACTGTTTCCTAGACTCTCACACTCACAGGATTAGCTCTGTAACTTTTAGCTGTAGAAAACAAACAGGGCTGGTTTCAGTTACCGGTTAAGAACTTTGAAATGTAATACAAGAAATACATAGGAAGAAATAAAATTATGTACCATGCACATATTATCCCAGCAAAACCCAGGATTCACATCCAGGTTTTTTGGGCTTACAGACAAGACAAGACAAAACCTACGTGATGAAATTCCCATGCAGAAAGGTTCCCTCAATCCATCTATGCCTGTATTAGGAACATTTCTCTTGCCTCTAGAACATCATAAACATATTTTCTTTTCAATGTATTAGCCTTTTTTTTTAACAGTATAAAACCCATCACCTGAGAACAGACCCAAAGTTCAGCAGAATCCACTGCTCCACTGCATTGAAGCATCCTTGTAATTTCAGCCAGATAATTCAACTGCTAGAAAATGCCACACTTTTTAAAAATCCAAATGCTGTTTCTCAAGGAAGACTCTTAGGGTTGTTTTGCCCTCAAAGCCAGTAAGGAAACAACCCTACCAGGCTAACAGACCGCAGTACCAGCAGAGGCAGAGTCCAGTCTCTGTGGAGACTCCCTGTATCAGGAACGTTAATGACAGTTATTTGATTATTCTGTAATATTGTCAGGAGAAATTGACAGATTATCTATAAAAGAGGAACCTCAGTCATCTTTTAATAAGAGCTACACACTGTTCTGCAATAAAATAAAAAAACTAAACCCAACTGAAATCCGTTATTCAATTTAAACAGAAACAAAAAGTACTTCATCTTCCCATTTTAAACCAAAGTCAAATAAATATCCATCTGAAATGGGTGGAGGCTTTGTCAATATTTTCCAAAGCAGCAAGTAAACTGAATTCTATGCTTGCTATAAATATGCAAGAATACTTATCATGAACACTTATCAAGCAGCATCCCTGTTGTAAAACAGACGTACTGCCTGAGAGACAGGGACAATTCACTCATCTGCCCCTAAACTAAAGCTTTCCAAGCACATCAGTTGAGCTCGAGGCTCTCTGCCTCTGTGCTAAGACACCAGAAACATTGTCAGATAAATATTTAATAGAAATAAATGCTTTGAATATGCACAGAACTTTTCAGATTTCAAGTTACTCTGGATCTACAGATGCCAGGAATTGGGGTGAAAAACCCCAAGACATGACTCTTTAAGAAGTGTGGCTTACTTGTACTAAAGCAGGACTAAATATCAAACTGTTCAGTCCAACTCCAAGTTAAAAACCCAAACATTCATCCTGGGTGGCTGCTCCCCCAGTCTGTTCTTCCCAAGCCCACAGAAAGCCCCCAGCCACCAAATAAACAAGTTACTGCAGCCCCTGCTCCCTCCTGCGCAACGTGGTGGTCGTGTTGTGCGAGCACAGCCACTAAAGGCAAAGCTTCCCCGAGCTCCGGCTGCAAACACATCTGGGCCATAAGCCTGGGTTTACACGGCTGGTGGATGCCACTCCCCACACAGAGATGCAGGTAAATTACTGAAGTTAGTTACGCCGGTGGTAATGCAGCCTTTGTGCTGCCCCGGCACACGGGAATAACGCTACTGCAACTGGGCATTTTAGTGGTTGTGTAAATACACCACCTGGATCTCACAGCTGCGCAACGGTCAGCACCTAACACAGTCTGAACATGAAAATAGCTGGATTTTTCCCAGCATCTCCATTTCTTGCAAACATTACCAGATTCAGGCCAACGGTCTATAGCAACGCAAACTTCTATATGCCAAGCTAATTCCCAGATATCCAAATAAAAAAACTAAACCCAACTGAAATCCGTTATTCAATTTAAACAGAAACAAAAAGTACTTCATCTTCCCATTTTAAACCAAAGTCAAATAAATATCCATCTGAAATGGGTGGAGGCTTTGTCAATATTTTCCAAAGCAGCAAGTAAACTGAATTCTATGCTTGCTATAAATATGCAAGAATACTTATCATGAACACTTATCAAGCAGCATCCCTGTTGTAAAACAGACGTACTGCCTGAGAGACAGGGACAATTCACTCATCTGCCCCTAAACTAAAGCTTTCCAAGCACATCAGTTGAGCTCGAGGCTCTCTGCCTCTGTGCTAAGACACCAGAAACATTGTCAGATAAATATTTAATAGAAATAAATGCTTTGAATATGCACAGAACTTTTCAGATTTCAAGTTACTCTGGATCTACAGATGCCAGGAATTGGGGTGAAAAACCCCAAGACATGACTCTTTAAGAAGTGTGGCTTACTTGTACTAAAGCAGGACTAAATATCAAACTGTTCAGTCCAACTCCAAGTTAAAAACCCAAACATTCATCCTGGGTGGCTGCTCCCCCAGTCTGTTCTTCCCAAGCCCACAGAAAGCCCCCAGCCACCAAATAAACAAGTTACTGCAGCCCCTGCTCCCTCCTGTGGAGCGTGGTCGTGTTGTGCGAGCACAGCCACTAAAGGCAAAGCTTCCCCGAGCTCCGGCTGCAAACACATCTGGGCCATAAGCCTGGGTTTACACGGCTGGTGGATGCCACTCCCCACACAGAGATTCAGGTAAATTACTGAAGTTAGTTACGCCGGTGGTAATGCAGCCTTTGTGCTGCCCCGGCACACGGGAATAACGCTACTGCAACTGGGCATTTTAGTGGTTGTGTAAATACACCACCTGGATCTCACAGCTGCGCAACGGTCAGCACCTAACACAGTCTGAACATGAAAATAGCTGGATTTTTCCCAGCATCTCCATTTCTTGCAAACATTACCAGATTCAGGCCAACGGTCTATAGCAACGCAAACTTCTATATGCCAAGCTAATTCCCAGATATCCCCTTCGCTCAGTGCAAGGGACCAAAACAACCATCTGTTACGGAGTTTTCAAACAATAAGCTTTAATTGCCTTATTAGAAAAATAAGCACTGAAATATATATAAATGTGATTACATTAAAGTAATTCTGTAGTCTAACATACTAGAAACCAAAGCCCAGTCATATTTTTTAATGATACAGAGTAGCAAGATTTAGGGTTTAGAAATTTTCCATAGAGAATACTGAAGTATGCAGATTCTTTTAGGAAACCACAGTAAAGACGAGACAAATCTCCACGTTGCAATAAAAACTAAGTAGATCAATTTATTCTGTATACTATACAATGTGTAAGTTTGTAAAGAACAATTGACATTTTTATTACCTTAACATCTTGACTGGGTGTAAATATGTCCAACAAAATGTACTCCCGTGGCCTTTACACAAACACTGTCCTACTACATCAAGAACAATGAGAGGGAAGCCTTTGGTGCTACAGATTTGGGGACATATCTGTGAAGTTGTAATTAATCCACTTACCTATGTCGAATAAAACATTGGTGCTATCCGCTATTATAAGCCTACATGATTACTACTCTAATAACTAATTAAACACTATCTTTAAAGGCAAGATATGAAAGGGACTGTCAGTCTACAGTGTGGACAGGTTTTTTTTTTGAAAAAGGTAATTATCAAATGGTAAAACTCATATAATACATTATGTACATAAGTTTGGATAGCTGAGTTATCTTGCTGGAGTAAGCTGAAAGTAAGCATCGATTTGCAGTCATTTTTGATTTCCTGTTAAGTGATTATTGGACTTAGGTTTTATTCAGTGTATAGAATCAAAATAGCTGTGCCTGCTGCTGAGGTCTGTCAGATGTGAAGGCTCATAATCAGTCATTGACCTAGTTAGTATTACAGTACTTCAAATATACACATGGATAATATATTCATGGCTGAATTTGTAGCAATCTTAAGAACTGCAAGTCACCAAGTGAACATCGGAAGAGCTTGTATTGTCCAACCAGCAGGACAAGCTGAGTTGTAGCTGAGTGGAATGTTTAAATTTAAATGGCTATTTGTTTTAAGCCTTCCCAAACACCAAGAAAGCTCACCTGACAGGAGCTACAGAGTAGTGGCACCAGACAATACACAGCAAGTCACCGTGAACTGTTCAAAATGTGTTTCAGGCCCAGTCCTATCATTAAGTTTCAATTTCATTTATACATACAAAAATAAAGAGGGATTTTCACATCAGGACAAACATCTATAAAAAGCAGTTTGCTTCAATATATCCAGTTTCCTTGCTATTCTCCTAGCCTAATTTCTTACTTAAAGAAGTAGGTCTGTTTCTTCAACCCGTTCTGCAAAAAAATCACAAATTCTTTATCACCAGTGGAGGCTAAGGAATAAGGACAGGCTTGACAGAGCCCATTTAATTACAAGAAAAGGGCTATACAGACTCAAAAAAAAAAATAATCAGATTAGCAATCTTTAAATTTTCTGGAATGACTCCTCTGAACCAAAGACATTATATAGACACCGATATACTTTGCTCATGTTCTGATCAAAAGAGGACCAAATTAACATTAATTTTCTTTTAGGTTTGCCTTTAGAAACAAGCATTGCAGAAAATACGGGCCAGTGTTCTTTCTGACTAGCAGTTCTTTATCCTGCAACACCTTTCTGAATACATCAACACAAAGCACATCCTTCTACAAACTTGCATCTTTAAGTGTTTTCTCTTATAATACCCACATTGGCGCTTTGTTTTTAATAGGCTGTTTCAGAACTGTTTCTTTAAAGAAAAAAGTACTCAGTAAATTGATTTTCTAAAGAGTTTCTTATACTCCCAGAGAACATCAAGGCTGTGATTACCTATATGAAAATCAATTACATTATGGATCATATTGCACTTTTAATATTCTGATTTCATTCAACAAACAATCGTTTAACTGCATCAAGTTACCTGTTGTGGGAAAATAACCGAAGATTGGCAAGGAGGATTGTAAACACACTCAAGTGACTTGCAGCTGAGGTGTTGAAAAACATATATACTAATCCTTGGTTTAGTCCTGTGTGTCTGTCAAGTAGAACATCTGTGTTTAGATAACATAGGCTTGTGATAGACTTAACAGGAATCCTATCGAACAGGCTGGAGATTCCTGCCCTGCTGTGGGAGAGATCAAAGCACAGTGGTAAACTACGCCTGCGTGAATCCCTGATAACACAGGCAAAAACGGCAGGTTTGGGGATCCTCCAGCACGGACTGAGCTCCCGCTTGTGTACCTCTGTACCTCTGCTGCTTTGGGGATCCCCTGGTTTGGTGAGGTAACAAAAATAAATTTGCATTTCATCCGTGGTTCTGTGGTTGTTCCTGTGTCCTGCCTGTGCTGGCTCACACACCTGTCTAATATAAACTATGAATTTTGATAATCTAGTACTTATGACCTGCATAATAAAGATGAACTGAAGTTCATTCCCATTTTCTGACATGAAAAGTTAACTATTTCTCAAGAGGTCATTATGTAAATACCACTTACAGTTCTTTAGTTTCCCCAAAGCCAATGAGGGGCTGTTGTATAACAAAAAGAAAAGTTTACTTCAGGAGTCCAAGAAAAAAAAAAAATTATACCCCTCCGCTTCCAGAAGCCTAAAATAGCCCAAAGACAATTGCGTATCAAACCTTAGCAAGTCTAGACCTGGAGTTTGCCACACAGGAAACTCTCTAGAACTGTACGTTTAGCCATCTCCCATGAAATCAGACAGAGCATTTCAACTTCAAAAGCTTAAAGAGCTGCTGAACAGAAAGGGCACTTGCCTCCAAATATAGACAGAAATTCCAAATTTGTATTTGAATCCTGGATGTTGTTGTGAAACAAAATATAGCATAATATAGCATAAAGCTGGGTCAAGTGTAAATGTGTTTCACAGATTTCAGGTATTCAGTTTTTACTTTCAATAGCAAGATTCTGGGCTCTTAGTTTCAGGACAAGACTTTGAAAGATACAGAATCACTTGTGCTTTGATTGGCACATTATCTGCTTTTTAAAGTGTAAAACTAATAGACGTTTGCAAAAGGTTGTGCAAAACTATTGTATTTACAAAAATGGCACAAGAGTGAATTCAACAGTCTATGCACATGCACACTTCATTCACATCTTCAACAAAAGTGTGTCCTAAGCTACGAAACGGAAAAGAATACCAGCTTCAACAGGCAGTTGTCAATAAGCACTAGATTCACAAGAGTTACACCAGAATGGGCAAATATTGCCCAAGTAAAAACTCTATTGTTAAAGCTGAAACAGGTTTAAGGCCGTTCAAGTTCAAAAGCAGAAACAAAATTCAATCAGAGCCCTGTCTTTGTTTTTATACATGCTTTACCATCTAGCAACTTGTGGTCTAAACCCCTATTTTAGACAACAAACCCAAACACAGAAGAAAAACCCAACACAACTGGAGGTTATATTAAATACAAATATGCTGTAATTAAGATGAAATAACAAAAGCAGAAACATTAGAAGTTGTAAAACTTGCGATGTCACTTGCTGGAACCAGTCCTACACTAGGAAATGGGCAATATGTACATTTTCAAGTAGATTACATTGCTCTAACCAAACTTGTCCTTTTTAATCAGTGCATTGTTCTCAACTAGTCCAAATACTACACATTTTACTCTTAACAGTACTCCCTTACAATAGCAGCACATGCTATCGCTACCTGCAAAGCTGTCAGTCTCATGACTTAGTGTAAGAAAGAAAAAGGGGGATGTGAGGGTGAGAAATAACTATTAAGGAGAAATAACAGGAATGAGAATAATCATGCAGTTCAGCTGTTCTCGTCAGCCAGCCAGCTTGCTAGCAACAAGAGATGGTTTCCGCTGTGGAAGATCCTGTGGAGTAGGAATATGGTCACCAGTGACTTCTGTCTTGTCAGGAGCTGCAGTAGGCAGTTGCTTATTCTTCATCTTTGCTTTAGCCATGTTGTAATCACCAGAATCAAAGTATTTTTGCTAGAAGACAAAAGACACATATATTTAAAAGCCTTATCAGATGCACACACTGAATTACGTGGTTAAGTAGGTTCTTTAAATTTTAAAAGCAGTTATAAAATCTTCCTAATTTGGCAAGGTAGCTCTATGTCAATTTAAAAAAATAAATAAAATCTTACCGAGACTATTAAGCACACATAGCTAACTAAACTCATAGCATTAGGTAAGTATACAATAAGGTTCTACACATACCATTAAACTCACACCATATGTGAACATCATTTTTGCCCTGGTTTTCCCAAGAGCTCTAGTCTCCCACAGGTGAAACCCTGGGGTTTGCAAATTTTGTTGCAGTGAACAAGTTCTGCAACACAGAATAACCAAAACAACTCATGAACTTAAAGCTGGAGAAGAGAGCCTGCTCTATCATACCAGAAGATCAAAGTAGCATGAAACTGCATGCTAACAAGAAAACCTCTTATCTGCATACATTAAAACAGTGAAACTATAATCCCTAAAGTTCCCAAACCAATTACTTAGTGAAGTCAAATCTACTGTGTAGTCCTCCTAAAAAGCACTATGTGAAGGAAATTCTTATCCCACACTCCAGGTTTCTTCTGAATACAGAAGCATATTAAGCTTTAATTTGTATAACAGTGTTCCTTAATATTTCAGCATATTTTTATTAGTGTTACCTTCAACAGACTTTTTTGTTGTCAGGTTTCTCAAAATATTAAGTTATGCATGGATGTTAAAGCCAAAGGACTGTTATGATTTATCTGCATCATGGTAAGATGAGGCACAGAATTTCATCCAAGGTCTACATGAAGCTTTTAACTGGTCATTGACACATTTTGCACAAATGCACATTTGCATTGTATTTTGTTTACATCTTACTATGAGGTCTACTATTAAGGTACTTGTAACCCATGTCTTTGAACAGATTGTCATATGAGGCCGAAAAAAAAATAATAGATTCAGGACAAAGATTTACACTAGTAACTGCTGCTTAGAATCATTTCTGAAGAGAAGACTCCCTAGTTACCTTTACACACTCTCATTCCTCAGTCAGTTGAACAACAGCTGTCACTACCTGCTATGTTTAAGTGCTTCCAGGCAGGATATTACTACCATACTCTTTATTCTGCACTAGCACTAAAGGGGGGGTGTGTTCCTGCAAGATCTCCTGAAGGCAGCTTTAAATTTTCCCTACCAGAGCCTTAAAGTTACCAAATCTGTCTTCCCCATGCAGTCAGTAGTATATCGAAGACCACACACTTTTTATTCATAAACCTTCCCAATTCAATCATTTTGTCAGTGTAATCCCTACTTACACCACAATGTTCTACCACTGCATCTGCAGACTAGACCTCAAGTTACAAAATAATCTGATTTGGAAAAAGTCTTTCGTATTTTGCCCTACAAGACTGAAGCAACCAAAACAAACTTTAAAACAGCACCCAGAAAATAATAGAATTGTTTAGTCTTACGATGTGTTAATTGCTGTGAACAGGTATCTGTTTCTGTCCACGTAAGAGCTCCGAATAGAATCCCTCTACAGGAGCACAGTGTCACATGGTTCCCATCTACTCTTTATCTGGAGAAAGCATGCTCATAATGGTGTGTGCACCCAATGCAGAACATTTCTGGAGAGTAAATATTAACGGGCAGAGCATGTCCTAGTTGCCTTATTGAAGAAATTCTAGAATACAGTTGACTACATACATTTAGAAGAATATCTGAGAAAACCTACCATCTTTCACGTATTAGAATATCAGTCCATTTCTTCCTTTAATTTATTCCTGTCTTTTCCTCTGATTTACTCTAGCTTCTCAGAGATGGCCTGTATTTGATCATCCCTTTCAAAATGACTACGTCTGTCCAGGTGTCTTCGTGTTCACAAACACTATCAGAAAGCATACTCACTATCCTCACTCTATTTTAAACTTCAGTAATCCAGGCAGACAGCCGTATTAAGTAAAGATGCTTCCTCATTTAAGACACCGAGCACACTAAACAAAAATAATAAAAAATAAAATGGAAGGAAATTGTTACCACCACATCAGGTGTGGAGAATTGAAAAAGGCAGATTACAAACTGAAATCTACAACTATATAACATCTTTCATCAGTGTAGCAAAATCCCACTTAGTCAATTAAGATGCCTACTGGTCTATCTCTGCTCATATTTGAAAATATAAGCTGCAACAACGTTTGCATTAAATAATGCTATAATCAAGATGAAGATATTGTACAGATTGCTATTGTTGATGGTGAGTATTCCTCACATTTGCAATGAGTGCAAGCAGTCATAATTCCTTTATGGGCATAAATCCTTAGGGAGTGGATGCTGGTCTTTTTTCCTGAATTATCATCACAACATATACTTACCTTCTGCATCTACACATACACCGAATGCACTGAAGTCTCCTTTAGACTGCCTTTGACCACATAACAACATAATTCACAGAAGGAGTCACCTAATCTACCAACTGCCTGTGCCCAGCAGCCATTAACTGTGCTGCACATGCTCCAACTTATGAGAGAAAGCTTATCCAGAAAAACTGTCAACAGTAACAATTCCTAGGAGATGTTACCAGATAGCACAGAATTAGATCAGCACTGAACTCCAAGAGCTGGTTTGCGAAGTATTTATACTTGGAGTCATTGCATGCACTCAAAGGATCTAGGCAATAGTCAAAAACAAAAAACAAAAACACAAAAAAACCCAAAACAAACAAAACAAACAAAAAAATGAAACAAAAACCACCACAAACAAACAAAAAAAACCAAACAAAAACAGTGTGACAGCAATGAAAGCACCATCAGAAGTAGTGGTAAGCTAGAATTCTTCCAAGAACAGAGTTCTAGCATGCCTGAAAGGCATTACATAAATTACTTTATGAATAATTGAACTTAAAAAATAAACAGTTGAATAACTAAGAAAGTAAGGGACACTGGTTAAATGTGGAACAATACTGAAATACTAACTCCCTCTTCCTCCTCCATTTTTCATTCAATCATTATTTTTTGGTTAGGGTGTATATTCAGGATTACACCACCATTCTCAAGCTGCTGATGTCAGAGACGGTACCTGATGAAGTTAGTGTCTGCTGTGTTACATCTTCTAAAAATATGGATAATAAGAGTGAACATATGTTTTGGGGACATAAGAACAGGCAAAATAATATCAATACAAAACATGGATGCGGTTCTGATCCTTACTGTTTACTTTGCTTTTTATGAAGTCTATTGTAGCAGCACTGAACTGGCTTCTCAGTTTAATTTTTTCTTAAATGTGCAGTTGAGCCACTGATGCTGTGAACAGCTATCCTGCCAATTTGGCATTTGTTTTGTGGAAATAAATTTATCTTCCTTGTGCTTTCACAGACAAAGCTTAAATTTCTTAGCACTCTTACTCATGCAAGGGCCTGTGGACCGAAAAAAAATAAGTCACAGATACAGGAATTTTGTAATTTCTTGTCCACACCCTGTGGACAATAAAGGACTCACTCCTTTTTGAAGCCTCTTCCTCAAGAAGTCTGAGCCTCCTGGCTTCTGGCCCAGATGAGGATATCTTGCTTTCAATTTTGCTTCTTCAACTTTTTCTGGGCTGATCACCTTATCCTCCATTTCCTGAAAGACAAATAGCAATACTGCAAATGAAATCTACAATAATGAACTATTTATGCAGAATACCTTTGCAGGTAATTCAGCAACATGCCGATTGCTGCTACAAGTGAACATACCAATTCTATGAATAGACATTTTCGTACATTCTCTCTCTAATGCTGACGGCAACTGTGGGAGTTCATCCTCCCATCTTAGATACCTTTCCTGGAGACGCGTTTGAATCTAATCCATGCATTTCTCTTTCACATAAAAGCAGTCTATACTAAAATTAAATTGTTCAATTTGGAAAAAAAAAAAAAAGCCCCCAACAAAAACCATATTTTGGTCAGAACAAGCGTTTCACTAAAAACAAACAAATGATGAAAGCTGGTCAGGTGCTAAAGGACTTATTTTCAGCTGCCCCTGTTTGATTATGCATTGCCACAATCTGTGACTGCTCTAACTGTAATGTCTTGACATCCACTGTGAAACAGTGTTAAAGCAGCTTACTCTCAAAAACATGCCTGCTATCATATTAATAGCAACAATACTGTATTTCTCTATACATGTCTACAATTATCCTAAAATTATGAGGATGCAGACAGCTGGATAGTGCCTTTGTGCAAAATAAAATGCATATTTTATGACTATACTGTAAAATATGGGTGCTCAAAGTAATCATTTGAAGACACTCATTTGGCAAACACTGCAATTTGTACATCCAGTCTTTCAACAGTGACCTCTACTTTACACTCATCTGTTCCAGTCCATGCAACAATTTGATGTATGAAGTACAATTTCTTCTATTAAATCACTTCTAAAATACCTTCCATTCAAAATTCTTGTTTTCCTACTTTCCAGTACTTGGCCACAGGCATTTCTTTTTTTTTTTTTTGGCAAACCAGTGCTAGTTCAGGGAAAATAGATATTGATTTGCAGTGACTGCTGTAGTTCTTGAATTGTTATTATCCTCTGAAGTCACAGAAAGACTTTTAGGCAGGAAAGAAGAATTGCCATTGGAATCAGGAGGGCCTCACATTCATTCATCTCTGACTAAGGTCTCATATCCACTTAGAGCTGCTTAGGCAGCCCCTTCACACTCTTTTCCATCTGTGTCATCATCCTTTGCATTGCATGGGTCAGCATGACTGCATGCACTCCACATGAATCGGTTACAGAAATTAATTCACCAGAAAAATAACCATCTATCTTTTTTTCTTTTCCCCTGCTTGTTGGGCTGTGTTTCATTTGGATCCGTTTCCAGAGTCTGGATCTCCAAGCAGCTGCACAAACAGGTATGTTAGCCCAGCAGCAAGGAGGACAGAGAAACACAAGCAGCTGGGAGCTACTCAAGCCTGAACTGCCAAAGAACTAGAGCCACTACACTAGCACCCCAGTGCTTTCCCATATATCCTAAAAAAGGTAAAAGTTCTATAAAATTCAACATCTTTCTGGTAAGAAACCTCAGATGCAAAGGTTGTAACAACAGATTTAGAAGATAACATTGTCTAGTTACTCCATTAGTCCAAGATATCTCAAAGATAGCCTTGCACAAAACAGTGGGAATCTGAATTAATAGTTCTACCAAGAAAAGATAGAAATTCTCATAATAGTTTAAGAGAAACTTTTGTGAGGACAGGAACCAACGCTTTGCGTTAGATGAAAACGCAGCTAGGCAATAGAATACAGAATACAAATAAATTTAAAGGGCAAAGTTTCCCTGACACTACTGAACACAGAATTATACTATTCTCACTATATAATATCATGCTAGCCACGACCACAGTTTTCATGTGTTATAAAGATCATTCTTCAGCTGCTGTTCTTCCTATAGTGCGTTATTATCATTCCGACACTGACTGGATTTTCTCAAAAGCAATCCTTTCAGCTAAACACTTTCAACATCTAATGCTGAATCACTGGGTACTCACTGTTGAGCCAACAGACAAAGCATTTGAGGGGGCATGTTTTGCCAATACTAACCAAAAGGAGATAATTTTTAAGTACAGAGGGCCAACAATAAATAGCTTACATAAATATGTATTCATGGTACATCAAAGGAGACACTTATGCAAACTCACAGGGCTGACAAATCATCGCACAGCAGGCAATCAAAACACAAAGTACTGTGTTATGCATCAATGCAGCCGAAAAGGATACAGACTATGGTCACTTGCTCTTGATGACCAAGAACAACTAAGACTCAAAAAAGTAGGTAAGACAAATTTAAAAATTTCAGTACAAAAATTCGGGGTGTCAAACGAAATCAGCTGTCAGCAAGTTCAAAAAATATATAAATTCTCCACATAAAATATAGTTAAGTTGCAGAACTGCTTGCCAAAGGATACAGGGGGTGCCGAGAATTTAGATGGATTCAGAAAGCAACTCAATGTGTTCATTGAGCTGTGGCTCAGAAGGCTTTTAAACCACAGGCTGCTGAGACCTGGGATAGTTTTCTGGGGAAGATCACTGCATGCATGTACTGACCTTCTATTCTTCTGTGGACTAGATGGTACTGAGCGCTCCTGGAGGTGTGCTGCTGAGCCACGAAGGCTTTAACCCAAGTCGACAAGGCAATTCATACATTTATAACATTCTGCCTTGAGTTACAGAGGCAACAACCAAGTGACTAACAAATGATTGGGGGGGGCGGAAATCATGATATACCACGCTCTTCTTCCTAGTGACAACCACACAAAAGTTATAATTTTAGTTCTCTACAGGAACTTGACACAGCTAATGAAGTCTGCTTACTTCACTGAAAGGATCTACCAGGAAGGCAGTAGTTACCTAACTCACTTAAAGATAGCTTTTGCTTTTAATCTTTGCAGAGCAGTGTAAAGTTGCGTATCTGTTGGACAACTGAACTGCATGGCTAAAAAAAGAGCCACCAGCATTTTCAAACTCTGGTATGAAGAGCTCATCCTCTTCAGCAAAAGACACTGGACAAATGTAAAGCAGAAAATAGGAAAAACATGACAACAGCACAACTCTACAGTGAACTGATGTGCCAAAAGCAAGTCCAGAAACAAAACGCAACACCTCTTTAGCTTCCTGAAAAATACAGGCTTTTAAGGCAAAAAGAGTCAGTCAACCAAGCATATGTTCTCCAATGTCTGAAGTTTCTTTGTTGCTGGACTTCCCCCTGCCACTATCCTGAGTTTTCACACGGAGAACAGGAAACGCTGGTCTTTGGCAAGTTTTCAATTTATATCACTCGTTTAACACCTTTCTCGCCTAAAACATGCAGAAAAGTTTAGAAAAGAGGTCTTATAGTGACGACACTGCCTCAAAGTTCATTTAGGTCCTTCATCTTTTTTTAAACATAAATACGAATTAAGTACTGCACAATGGATTTTTTTATATAAGTATTTCAGAGCTAAGCATTAACTGAGTGAATGTGCAATTTTGCCTACCCAGACAAACAGTTTTAGTGAAGGCTAAAATTGCAATGCCATAATAACACAGATATCACAGTATTCTAACAGCATATATACTCACAGGAAAAAAAGAAGTTTTATTGTATTGATGTTATTAATTTGTCTTGAACACCTCATCAGATTAAAACTAAATCAACGATCAGTAAGGGACTCTTGTCTCCCCAATAAAGGGTAATTTTTCGAAACCGTGCATAAGCACTGCATTTCAAGACTTCAGTCTGAAACTCAGCAAAATCAGCCCCAGTCACCTGACTCCATCAGAACACACTAGAAGGCATCACAATAAACTTGCTACCACATGTTTTACTATGCTCTTATTACAGAGCTATTCTAGGAGTGCTGCATAGGCCAGGGATTGGCCAGGGATTTATTTTTACAGGCTTTGAAAAGGAACAGTAGGCCTTCAGTAGTTTACCTAACATGAACGTAAAGTCAAGCTGTAGAACAGCCACATTCAAGAGCAGATTATAGACCTGCCACAGAACCTAGTTTTGATTACTGCACCTATTGAAAAGGTATCATTCCATACTGACCCCCAAAGCTTGCCTACTTATATGACTAACTCATATTACAAATTGTAAATTATTAAACGAAAACTTGGCAGCTGAGGTAGATTAAGCTTGCTTTTTTTTTCCAGCGTCCTTCAAAGCACCACTTGCGTTTCATAACTGCTCCCTATCAGAAATAGCTGTGGAGATTGCAACTGGGTCCATGTAGCAATGACAAGACTGAAAACCAAACGGCTTCTTAAAGTCACAACCAGCAGAGGGAAACTGCTAACAGCACACAGCCCTCTAGGAAGCCAAATCCTACTTAAGAGACTATATAATATTTAGTTACCGAGATGACATAATACTGCCATCACAGGATAACCCAGCCAGTTATTCTTCCTAAAAGCCTTACCAAGAACAGGCCATAGCCATTATGCTTTAGTTATTTCTTCTCCTCCTAAATAGCTTATATTAAAAGCTGAAAGTTTTCTAAAAGTGAAACAAAAGTTTAGCCACCGGATTATGGCCGGTTTCCAGCCGCTGCGCCTGGTAGCTGCGATTCCTTCCCCCCGGAGACCCGGGCAGGCCGAGCACCGAGGCCGCGCCATTCGCCCGTCCGGGCCAGAGCAACGCCAGCGCTTTACCAGAGCAGAGAAATTCCCCGAGTGCAGAAACCAACATGGTGGGGCCGCTCCTCCGCCTCCAGCCTCCGCCAGCCGCGGCCGGCAGAGCCCGCGCCCCCCCGCCCCGGCCTGTAGCGCGGCGCCGGCCCCGGGCCTC